TTACCTCTGGTCTGTGCACACAAAACAAGTTACCACTGGTCCGTGCGCACAAGTTACCGCTGGTCTGTGCACACAAGTTACCGCTGGTCTGTGCAAGTTACCTCTGGTCTGTGCACACAAAACAAGTTACCACTGGTCCATGCGCACAAGTTAGAGCTGGTCTGTGCACACAAGTTACCGCTGGTCTGTACACAAGTTACCGCTGGTCTGTACACAAGTTACCGCTGGTCTGTGCGCAAGTTACCGTTGTGATATCATGCCAGTGCACAATGCCATACGGTTCCAATCGGAGCCAACAACAACAAATACGGCCTCTCTAAGAGCACTCCACTCAGACGTACATAGGCATAGATATTACACGTAGACATATACATGTACTTCGGAAATAAAAAAATATAAAAAGAAGGCATGAGACACAAGCAGGAGGAGCTCTTGACATTTACTGAACCCAGCCAGCACACCGCCCTATTTCTGGTCATCTTGGGAAAATAAAATAAAATCACGCTCGACTAATCATGCGCCCAAAATAAAATATCCATCATCAATTTTCAACAACTCTCCTGTCAAGCCAGCCAGCGGCCACGACATGCTCGGCTGCCAATCCAATCCAATCCAATCCAATCCAATCCAATCCAATCCAATTAAAGTTATTGATCATCATCAATCCATTCCAGGTCCATCTTTGGTTGGACTCCCAAATTTGCCGCCAACGTTTCCCCGAGCTGGATTTCCGCACGATCTCATGGTCGGCTTCCATCCGCTCGATCTCATGGCCATCTTCCATCGAATCGAACGGTGATTAGAAATCCTTTTCGGAATAACATTTACTATAATACACAATACACAATACACAATACACAATACGCGGTACACAAGCCGGAACGTGTTCACAGAGAACACTCTCCCTCTCCGTCGATCTGCAGTTCTCTTCTCTTCTCTCTTCTCTCTTCTCTCTGCAGCAGCTTTATAACATACTTAGTATTTCACGCAGCTGATTTCATTGGTAACGTTGGTCGTCAAACGTTTTTTTTCGTCAACAAACGTTTTTTTGTTTTTTTCTCACCTCCTTGTGTTTCAAAGGATGATGAACGACGACCCCTCGCGTGTTCTTTTGCTTCATCTAGGACTTGTTCTGAAACCGCAAGCATCATAGACTGTAAGCATCATAGACGAATTGTGAGTGACCTCACTCCTATCGCAACGATTCCTTCTTGTTCATCGCCATCACTATCACTGCTATTCTAGTTGTTGTTGTTGTTGTTGTTGTTGTTGTTGTTGTTATACTTCTTCGGTTTTCAAAGCCATCCAGGGGAGAGAATTGGTTGGGGTCATGCTCGGATCGGATCGGATTCCATCCGATCCGATCGGATTGGATCTGCTTACTCGTGGCATGAAATGGCGTCCAAGCATTGTTGATGAATCTGAGGAAGTCATGCACTACCGATGTCGAGCCTCTCTTACTGTCCGCAAACGGCGACATTGCGCTTTGAATGCTGTGTGCTCTCTCTCTCTCACTCTCTCTCTCGTCTTCTCCCTCCTGATCTCTCTTATGTCCTTGTTCTCCTCCCTCCTGCGACAGACAGACACGCTGCCACGCGTCTGATCGCCTTACAGAGTTGGAGACAGTGGAATTGAACAAGAAGAAGCCGCGTACCGGTGTTACCTAACTATATAGATAGAGAATGAACGAAGAAATGAAATGAACAAGAAATAAATGAGAGCTACGTGAGAGCGTCAAGCACGCCGCGCCTCACGCCGACTCGACCAGAGAGACCAGACAGACTCAGTTAAACTGAGCCGCCGGCGATTGATCTTGCTGCTTCCTCCACGCGCTCGTTCTGTCCCTCCTCCTCCTCGTCTTCCCGCTGAGCTGCGCACAAACCGCGCAGCCAGCTGTCGTTTCCCGCGCCCGAGAGAGCGAAACACCCCCCCACCAGAGGCGCGCAGACGGCGCGCAGATGCACGTCCTCCTTGCGCGCTCGCCTCCACAAAAGGCGGGGGATAGAGCTCAACAGCGGGGGGAAGGATTACGGAGGGACAGGACCGATCGCGAAAAACCGGGCGAAGCGGAGCAGAGCGGAGCGGAAACCGGCGGAGTGGACTCCTTGCTTCTTCGTCGTCTTCAAGGCACTCATCACTCGCTCTTCATACGACACACACAAACTAACATAACACACTTTCACTCCGTCCTCGGTTTTATAGATCTGCAGCGGCGGTTCTGTTGCGGCTGCTGCCCACGGAATTTTTGGGCTGGCGCGCGCGCTCCTCCAGAGGTCATGGAATGGAATGAACGGTGATCGTTGACGCCTGGTGCGCGCCGACGCGAGCGCGGAAAAGGAACGTTTTTGTCGTGACTTGGGCGGACGTCCCGGCGGCAATCTACGCCGCATTCAAATGGACTAAATTCAATCCTACCTACCGCAGGTAAGAGTGCTCCGACGCTCAGTTTCGCAAATTGATCTTGAATGGGACGCTGGGCCCGGGGCTAGGTCCCACTAGCAAAGAGGATTGGATTGAACACCTGAATCTGGACTTGTTTTTGGAAACGTGCAGACTGTCGAGATTGAACTGCTTTTCTTCATATCTGCTTAAAACACGTCCAGATTCAGGATATTCATCCAATTTTGCCAGTGGTACCTCGCCCCCGGTTCCCAGCACGTGCTGCTCCCCACGAACAGATTGGAGCATGTCCCTTTATAATAATAATAATAATAATAATAATAATAATAATAAAAAAAAAAAAAAAGGGAGTGCTCCGACGCATTTCCTACCCTCTTTTCCTATTTCTTATCTCCAAAGCTATTGCTACTATGCTGTACTGCCGCGATACTATTGCTATTGCTAAAATTGCTATTGCTATACTATTGCTGTAACCACACAGATACACTCAAATTTTTGATGAAGCAATTTAAACGTATCTGAGATACAATACGGTCCAGATGACTGTTCGCAGCCCGTCAGTTCGCAGCCCGTCAGGGTTGCGCTTTCCCCCCCCCAAGACATTTCAACGTCAATCAAATTTCAACGTCGGTGGTCCTCGGGAGGGTGGGCATTTGAGGTTTTGGGGCCTTGCAAGGGCCAGGACCGCATAGGACCGGTAGCTGCCCGTAGGAGGCCGAGGTCCTTAAGCCATTTTCAAAATTGAACGGTGCAGGTGCACTTTTCGCGAATAGCAAAGCTCCTTGAATAGAAAACGTATTGACTTACCGTGAGGGCACGGGTGCGCAGCCCGTAGTTCGTTTGTTTATGTGGTTCGGGAAGGGTAAGGTAGTGATTATGCTATATGTATGTTTTGTCATGTTCGCTATATATAACTCGAAGAGACTGCGTCTCGGTTGGTGCTTCATTGACGATGTTCATGGGACGCTGGACCCAGTTTCCAATAGGTGGCGCTCCCCATCAATAGACAGGAGAATGTATGTGCGTGTGTGTGTGTGTGTGTGTGTGTGTGTGTGTGTGTGTGTGTGTGTGTGTGTGTGTGTGT